CAACATTATAATTTTGAGTGTTTATGACGGAAATGTTAATCCTTTAAGATTCTCATATGAAAAATTCAAAACGTACATGAGTAAAGCAAGGATTTTAGTGGCTTTGGATAACAAGAAGCAGATCCATCCTCTTATTTAAAAAAAAAAAAAAGAAAAAGAAAAAGAAAAAGAAAAAGGAAAGATAATTAATCTATAGATTTAAAAAAATTTGAGAGTTGACCCTATAACATAACCATGTGCCCTTCGCTGAATTTCTCGAAACATAAACCCAGCATTCATGATATTCCCACACATCCCTTTTCCCTTGATTCCCCCCAACCATGATCACAAACATGTCAAGAATTCTATTTATTATTATTATTTTTTAAACATGTTTATAACGAGGGGTAGGGGAATCCAAACCAAACACTCGAATTAAGGGATGCATTTTCAATTTGCCTCATAACCGTTGGGCCATGAGGTTTCAATGCCAAGAATTCTACTTATTTGAATCTCACAAGATCCAATATTCTAATCTTAATTTCTTTACTTAATTTAACAAAGTTACTGTATATGATAAGCACTTTATTTTAAGTAATAAAATATTTATATTTTTTTAAAATTAAAAATAATATAATTACAATACTATATAATATTATTATGGTATTTCTTTATTTTATTTAGAACCCATTCCTTTGACTCCAAATTTGAAGCTCGCGTGTCTCAATCGTGCAGCAATATCCCAAATTAGCTATCCTTTTTGGATTTTTCAGGAACAAGAATCCTTTTGCTGCCCAATCTTTGAGATCACCAGCTAAGACAAATGCCAAAATTTCACATTGTCTGATATTAATTATATCGTTTAAAGTTTTTGCCTGGGTTTTGTTTTGTAAAACCTTAATTCATTTTCTTTCAATTTTCCTTGCGGCAAACAAAATCAGCCAAATATCAATTCGTGAAAGTTGATTAGATTTTGCAGATCTGGGTTTGTGAGCATGGTCAGCGATGTGTGAGACTGAAAGGGAACCCGATCTGGATTTTTCTGTTCGTGCAAGGGTGAGGTTCACTTGTCGGCCTTTAACGACAAACTTCGCCGACTGGTTAGAATTTTCACCCGCTCTTCATTCCCTTTCCTGTACTTGCCTGCTTTTGACAAGAGTTTCAGGAATGAGTCAAAAATGCTGACAGAAATAAGGCACAAGAATATTGTGAAGCTTCATGGGTATTGTCTTTGAAGGCGATGTATGTTTTTGACTTATGAATACATGGAAAGAGGAGGCCTTGCCTGTGTCCTAAGAAATGTTGTTGACGCTGTGGAAGTGGATTGGATCAAAAGATTCCGAGTTATCTAAAGATGTTATCAAAGGATTGGATCCATTGAGAAAAGTATGCAAAGACCAATATGGTAGTCTTTTTGGTCCCGCAATAGGCAATTTCATGGCTGCTTACTAGGAAGAAAATTAAGCCAATCCATTGAGAAAAGTATGCAAAGACCAATATGGCAGTCTTTTTGGTCCAACAATAGGCAATTTCATGGCTGCTTACTAAGAAGAAAATTAAGCCAACTACAAAAGAATTGAAGACTCTATAGCTTCTTCAATCTTCATTCGTGGATACAAAATCTTCAATTTGAAACCAAGACTGAAGTCCTAATCAAGCTTAATTTCTGAAAATCGAAAGAAATTTCATCCGATATCAATTCAGTCCAGCTTGATTGATACCAATAATTTGAAATCGAACCAATTAATAACTTGTAGCTGATGGAGTCATGAGCACGTATTTTTGCAAAAGGTTAAGATTTTTTGTTGCCCACGAGAAAAAATGAATGAAATGCACCAGTGTTTGTGGAAAAGTATCGTAACCACTCTCTCTAGTCTCATTGAACAAGGAAAGTGGCTGCCTGGAAAATGAATTGCCT